AGAATGGCTTAAGAAGGGGACTGACCAAAGAGAAGGAAAAGGGAAGGAAAAAGGGAGGATCTGTTTCTTCATGAGCTGTGCTGTGGGCTGAATTTTATCCCCTCAAAATTCATATTTCGAAGCCCTACCCTAAAATGTAATGATATTTGTAGGTGGGGCCTTTGGGATGTTTCGGATGAGGTCAAGAGGGTGGGGTCCCATGATAGGATTAGTGTCCTTGTAAGAAGAGACACCTGAGAGCTTTGTTTCTCTCTCTGCCTTGTGAGGACACAGCAAGAAGGCAGCCATGTGCAAGACAGGAGAGAGCCCTTACAGAGGGAATGACTTGGCTGGTACCTTGCCCTTGGACTTTCTGGCCTCCAGACCTGTGAGAAATAAAAGTTTTTTTGTTTAAGCCACCCAGTCTATAATATTTTGTTATATCGACCAGAGCCAAGAGCATGAAGACATGCCAAGAGCACTGGATGAAGCCCTTCTCTTAGGAAAGGCACACTTCTCATGTTTCCTTATAGGAAGCAATGCTGACAATTATCTAGTGCCAAAGTTATGCATTACTGTGTAGAATATAGCACTTCTCAGGCCTCTGAGTTCCTCCCCTACATAATGAAGGTGCTCCCAGTATGAGCCCATGGCCCCCTCAGCCAATTCAGGTTCCTGTGTGCAAGAAAACTTTGGGGGAGATATCAGAGTTTTTCCAGATTGTTTAGAAGAAGAAACCAATAATGAGTTGGAGGCAAAGATAGGAGGATTCTCTATTACAGAGCTGTGCCAAATGGACACCACCCAATGTTGCCAATTGGTCTGCAGGGCATTTTTAAAAAAGATTCTGCCTCATAGTTTAATCTGTCATATACAGATTTATGGCCTAAAACAGCACTTTTTAAACTGAATCACAACCCATTAATGGGACGTGAAATCAAATGGGCTTAGCCAATATTTTTTTAATGAAATAGAATAAAGTGAAACAACATAACATAAAATATTAGAGTATATTATTGGCATTAAGAATAGACATTGTTTTAAGAAATTGTTTCTGCTTTGTACACATACATATACATGCCTCACTATCTAAATCTATTTGGTTCCTAAGCAATAATATACATAGCAAAGGATCCTATATAATTATGGTCCAATTGATTTGCCACATGAATATGTTTTTTAAAATGTGAATCAGATTGGGGGTGGTACTCAAAGTCACTAGCCTAAAGAAACTACAGGAAGTGGAATGGAAGTTTTTTAAAAAGTGATTCCAAAATAGTTTAACATACTCTTCTTTTGTCCTAATTATCTTTCATGTGGTTTCCCTGGATTTATATGTCTGAGAATACTTCTGGCATTGTTATAAACTTTCTTTACATCTGGTGTAAGAAGCAGAAACAAAAGGTGGGATGCAACTAGAGAAAGGGCATGTGTTTGCATGCACAGGGTCAAATCTGCACCACAGAGCAGGCCAGGCCAATTCCTGTCATTCCATGTGCCAAACCTCTGGACAGAATCTGGATGGGAGGCGAGCTCCCCTCTCCCTTAGAAAAGCCTTCACAATGCCAATTTCTCAAATCACTGGGCAAAAGACCAAGCGCTCTCCAGGATATGGAGCCCTGAACAGGATCATGGCCAATTCCTATGTTTAAGTAACACTGAGTTTGTTGGTATATCGTGATTTTTGTAAACTTTCTGACAAATTCTACAAATAATGCAGTATTTCCAAATGTGATTTTAGAAAAATTAGTTTGCCTGATACTCTTAAATAGCAACTCAACCCTAACCCTTTCCCCCTAAAAAACACAAAGTTATCACATCTTGCCCTGGTCTGAATGACAGCTTGTCCATAGCTGCCAGCACCTGCCTTTGCAGGTACCATCCAGGGGTTTCAGGTGGGTATAGCCTTGGAAATTTAGCTTACCTCGAGTTCCCAAACACATTGCTCAAGGTGTGTTGCCCCAGTGGTCACTGTCCAATATTCTTGCCATCAGTAGTCACTGGTTTACAAAAGGTAGTTGTAAAAGAGGAACCAACAAATCACTAAATCTGGTGGGGACTGTCTACACCCTAAAGCCAACCGCAACAGCAGAGGAACGCCAGAGGTACTGGTCTCTTCGCAGGTTTATGACAACTATGTGACTGATGAATTAAATGTTTTGGCCTTAGAGAAACCCTGGCAGGCAGATTTCACCCGAGGCTGAGAGTAAAGACTTGAAACCAATTAACTGTACTCAACTTGAAAACTAGTGTGGAAGGAAAGGACTTTTGTCACTCAATCAATACCTACAATGATAATTCTGTTGTATTCTCTGGCCTTATAAACTCTGAATGATTATGTCTGGAACACCAGCTGTTTTATGTTCTAGGTTTATTTTGTTGAAAAAAGTTTTGATAATGAAGTGATGATATTTCTGTAAGTCTCAGTCAAATAGAGTCAGCATGCACCTTACCAGCGCTGCCATCTACAAAGATGCTGAAAAACAGAGTGGAGGTAAGGATTTTTAGCTTTTTTTTTTTTCTCAAAGTATTTTAATTCTGTGGTCTTTTAAAGTAATCAAAAGACTAGATAGTTAGAGCAAGAGTCTTAGTAGTGTATTAAGGATCCTGATTTATGACGGTTCGACTTATGATTTTTCAACTTGACACTGGTGCAAAAGTGGTACACATTCAGTAGAAACCGCACTTCACATTTTGAATTCTGATCTGTTCCTGGGCTAGAAATATGCGGTAGGATACTCTCTCCAGTGCCAGGAAGCAGCAGTGAACCTCAGCTCCCAGTCATGCAATCACAAGGATAAACAACCAGTACTCTACAGCATACTGTGTTGCCAGTGTTTTTTGAATATTGTGTTTTATGTTTGCGCATCTCTTCATGTCTAAAAAATGCCCATCTGTGCACAGTATTCAAAAATAAACTTTTTGTTAGATAATTTTGTCCATCTGCAGGCTAATGTAAGTGTTCTGAGCATGTTTAAGGTAGGCTAGGCTAAGCTATGATGTTTGCTAGGTTAGATGTATTGAACACATTTTCAGCTTATGGTATTTTCAACTTGCAATGGGTTTATCGGGATGTACCCCCATCATAAGTTCAGAAGCATCTATATAATTGATTCATATTTATCCTCAAAAAATTATCTCAACATATAACTTAAAAAAATGCTGCAAATTTCTTAGGTTTTGTCCTAGTAAGTCTGCCATCCCATGTGTGTGTACAATTGGCAGTTTATTTTACTCTATCCACTTTCCCTTTCCTCAAATTAAAAAAAAAAAATTCTTGAGTTTCCTGATGGTGCAGCTGATTCATAAAGACAATATGTGTTGATGATAAGTCAGCCTATTAGAGACATCTGGGGTAAATGTCACTCAGAAAGCAGATTTGCTGCTGGGACAGTCCCTGCAGTGGCATCAGGCACTTCCTCAACTATATGGCAGTTTCTAAAACACCAAGTAAACAATTTTGAGTAGATTATCTCTTTAATCAGAAATTTACACTGCTCCACTGCAGCACATCATACAATTATAATAGCTTTTGGATCTTACAAAAGGAGACATCATTGTCATTTCATTTCAACCTACATACAACAGATCTTCAAATGAATATCAAAAAGCTCAATGAAAAATGGATGTTTATATATACATTATTCAATGCTCAAATATTTTGAAACATTTTTAAACAATGACAAATTACTAAATTTTCATTCAGAAGTTTTGCCTTTTTTACACTCTTTCTATACTCAATAACCCTTTAATTGTAGTAGCAAATTGGGGGGAGGGTGGGCAGTGATCCTTACACCTTTCCACTAAGTACCAACATCCAGAATCCTTCTCTGTGATCTCCAGTGGTGGTAAAAAAAAAAAAAGAAAGAAAGAAAGAAAGAAAGAAAGAAAGAAAGAAAGAAAGAAAGAAAGAAAGAAAGAAAGAAAGAAAGAAAGAAAGAAAGAAAGAAAGAAAGAAAGAAAGAAAGAAATGGCTGTTTCCAGCAAAAAGAGAATGGAAAATGAAATTGCAAAGAAGTAGTAAGTACAGAAGCTGCAACTTGTCAACAGTTGAAATTACATCTTCAGATTCCCTATAAGAAATAGCCTAGATCTAAAATGAGTGAAATGAAAACAAGTCTCTTTACTATGAGAGAAAGAAAGAAAAAGCATGAAAAGAAGGGGGGGGGGAAGGAAGGGAAAAAAAACCTAATTTTCAATGGATAAAAATATGAGAACATATGGAATCATTTACAAGGCCAGACTGCTACCTGTTTGGATCTTCAGAAGAGGGATGAGAGGCATTTCTGCAACCCTAGGGAGATGGTTTTTTGCATACCTAATTTAAATAAACCTCTCTAGCACATGAAAGAAGAGCAGCAGAACTCTTCTTCACTAATTGCCACTGCCTGGACTCCATATCCATATGCTGCTTCTCTTTAAAGCCACACTAGTTCATTATTCTGCCTTCAACTCTCTTAAATGATTCATTTCCCCCTTCACTCCTGAGCAGACTCTGCAGGGAAGCTAGTATTTAAGTTTAATTTCTAGTGCCACTTGCTTTGGAGAGACTGATGAAGGGAAGGAGGAGGAATCTAATTTAATAATTCTGTCATGACTCGGAGGGGCACCCTCCGCCCCCACCCCCAGAAAGCAACTAGACAAACAGGACCCTCTGGCAAGCTATAATCGTGAGCAAAGACACCAACCGGGAAAGCAGGGCCCACGTGCGGTGGGAGCTATCACCCGAGGGAAGTGGCAGCCTGAGAGGAGGAGGGAGGACGGGAGAGTCGGGCTGATCCTAGCAGGTGCCCTGGCCTAGGCGCCCTGGGGGAGGGGGGGGAACCCAAGTCGCACCTGAATGAAGGTTAGCTCTCTCCCAGGCACCAACTAGGCGGGGAGAAACAGAAGGGCAGGGAGGGCGGCTTCCACATCCTAGGGAGCCGTGCCCGCGAGAGGGTGGGTCGGTCCCCGGTGCCCGCCGCGGGCTTCCCCAGCCCGAGCCCGCGCGCCCGCCGGGCGCCCGCCGCCCCGCGCCTTACCGTCCCAGCTCCGCCTCCACCTCGAAGAAATCGCTCAGAGCATCCCTGTTGGAGCCGTCGATCCAGTAATCCGGGACGAGGCTCCCGGCGCCCGGGGCCGGACTGGCGGTGACCGACGAGCAGGACGAGGCGGAGCAGGAGGGCGCCGTGACTTTGAGCATCTTCGCAGCGGGACTCCGGAAGCCGCCGCCGCTGTCGCCTCGTGCGCCGCCGCCGCCGCCGGAGCGAGGAGCCCGGGCGCCCGCCGCCGCCGCCGCCGCCTGCGAACGCAGGAGCCAGAGAGAGGTGGCGTCCTTCACACACGCACACGCCCACCGCCGCCGCTCCCCGCGCCGCCGCCGCCGCCGCGCTCCGGCTGCGGCTCCCCTCCCGGCGCTCGGCTCCCGAGCGAGGGCGGGCGCGGAAGGCGGCGAGCAACTGCGCGAGGGCGCGAGGGGGAACCCGGAGTCACCGCCGGCCCGGGCGCGGCGAGGCGGAGGCGCCGCAGAGCACGGGGCCTCCCTCCCCCTCAGCTCCTTCCCCGCCCGCCTCCTGTCCTCCTCGCGCCCAGCCTCGCCAGCCCCCTCCCTCTTCCCTTTCTCCCGCCCGGGCTGCGGCTGCGGCAGGGCGGGCTGGGGCGGCTCCGGATGCCACCGCTCCGGGAAGGCAGCGGGGCCGGAGCAGCACCCCACGCGCCCTCCCGCGGGAGCCGGGAAGGAGCCGCGCGCAGCGGGACGCTCGCCCCGGGAGCGGCGCGCGCTGGGAGCACGTGCGTCCCGGCGGCCCCGCGGGCGGCCAGGAGGGGACCCGGTGCTGTGGGCGCCGCTCAGCCCTCCTGGAGCGCGTCTCGGTGGCGACTCCCTTCCGTCTAGCGCCCGCTACCCAGCCATCCCTTGCTGCCCCTCTGTGAAAGCTTTTATTGGTGGCTGGGAGTGTGCCCTGTGGTCGCCAATCCTCTCCGGGGCTCCTGTGCCCGGACCCCGGTGAAAGCCGGAGAGAAAGGAAGCGCCTAGGTCCACGCTGACCTGACTCACCTTTGAGGGAAGTCTTCAGTTGGAACAGATGCTGTTGCTGCTGCTGGTGGCGCTGCGGGAGCTCCTAAAAGGGGAGAAGATACTCCGGCCGTGTGGAGTTTGGTCTCGGCATCTGAAGGCCGGCGACAGAAGTGGCTCTGAGAATTACAGGTCTGGAAGGGCCCTCTGGAAGCCGGCTAGTGGAACCCTCTGCCTTAAGGCAGGACCTGTCATCATTCGAGACAGAGAAGATTGCTACATTGAAAGCTCCTTTCTCTTCCCAAGAGATGTATCCCTTCATAAGCATTCCAACGTTCCTCCGTCAACTGTCATGACTATTTTTCTGAGTATTGGTTAAATATACATCACTTCTACTTCTGCCCTTGAACTTTTTTTCTTTTCAGATTTCAGCGAAAGGGAACAACAATTAGGCATTACCTTATGATATATACATACATATATATGACAATTATTACATCACAGCTCATGTCTGGCTAAATAAGCGTTAGGGAAACCTGTGGCCTCAAAGCCACACGTGGCCCTCCAGATCCCCAAGTGTGGCCCCAAACTTCACAGTACTAATCCCTTTATTAAAAGGATCTGTTCTGTAGAATTTGGATTCAGTCGAAAGGCCACACTCAAGGATCTAGAAGGCCACGTGTGGCCCCAAGGCTGCAGGTAAATATTACTTTTAAATCTATTTTTTCCCTGACTTTCTTCCGACATGCATTAGACTCTTCCTATTAAGTCTCCATTCCTGACAACACGAGTCATAAATATGGCCCAATATTTTCATCCAATTTATTGGTTTATTTTTAAGAATTTTCCTCCTTCATTGGTGAGCTAAACAAAAAAAAAAAAATACAATCAAATACTTATAGAAATGTGATTCCTAGTTGATTGGAAATTGGAAATAAATACAGTCATCTATCCCTTAATGATGGGGATACTTTCTGAGAAATGCTTCCTTAGTGGATTTAGTCATTGTGTCAACATCACAGAGAGCAATTACACGAACATAGGTGTATCCTACTACATAGCTAGGGTAGATGATATAGCCCATTGCTCCTAGGTTAAAAACCTGTATGGCATGATGCTGTATGGAATACTGTAGGCAATTATAAGCCAATGGTATTGGTGTATCTACACATACAAAAGGTACAGTAAAAACAGGGTATAAAAAATAGTACACCTGTATAGGACACTTACCATGAATGGAGCTTGCAGGACTGGAAGTTGCTCTGGGTGAGTCAGTGAATGAGTGGTGAGTGAATATGAAGGCCTAGGACATTACTGTGCACTACTATATAGACTTTATAAACACTATACACTTAGGCTACACTAAGTTTATTTTAAAAATAGCTTACTTTCTTCAATAATAAATAAAATTAGTTTAATATAACTTTTTTACTTTACAAACTTTTAAATTTTTTCAATGCTTTGACTTTCATAATAATATTTAGCTTAAAACACAAACACATCATACAACTGTACAAAAATATTTTCTTTCATTTTATCCTTATTTTATAATTCTTTTTCTATTTTCAAAATTTTAATTTTTTTTTTTTTTACTTTTTAAGCCTTTGTTAAAAACTAAGACACAAACGCACTCATTAGCCTAGGCCACTGCAGGGTAAGAATTATCAATATCACTTTCTTCCACCTCCACACCTTGCCCCACTGGAAGATCTTCAGTGGAGCTGTCCTGTCCTATGATAACAACACCTTCTTCTAGAATAGATCCTGAATGACCTGCCTGAGGCTGTTTTACAGTTAACTGTTTTTTAATAAGTAGAAGGAGGACACTCTAAAAAAATGATAGAAAGTACAGTAAATACCTAAACCAATAACATAGTGATTTATTATCATTATCAAGCATTATCCACTGTACATAATTGTGTGTGTTATACTTTTATACAACTGGCAGCATAGGTTCATTTACACTAGTATCACCACAGACATGTGAGTAATGTATTGTGCTATGATGTCAGAACAGCTATGATGTCACTAGGTGATAGAAATATTTTAGCTCCATCATAATTTTATGGGACCACCATCATACATGTTGTCCATCATTGAACAAAATGTCGTTACATGATGCATGATAGTACAAAAGTATTCCTCACAAGTAATTTTATGATGATAAGCACATACTCAATTTACTAATTCTCTAAAAAAATAGCAAGTATATGCAGATTCATACAAGTTCACTTGTTATACTGGATTGTTTGGTGAAAAACTGAAAATGTTCACATGACTTGTTACATTTTAGAGAATGAATGTATTAATAGTCATGTTGAAAAATCAAGTTTACAACCAAAGCTGAATAAGAACGCTCTCTAAAACAAATTATAGTTCTCCTAAATCACTTTCCCTTGGCTTGCATTGATTGGTGGAGAGATGGGCATGAAGTAGTTGCTAGGCCATTTTTATTCATATCGCTTTTGAGGCAACTCCAGCAGTGGCAGACGGCATATAAATGCTTGTCTGTTGTGAGCAATTCTTTTACAATGTAAGTCCAAAGCAACCATATTACACTGAAGGAAATGGTGAGCCTTTTTCCCCCTGCTATTTTAGGGAAGAATAGCAGCGGAAAGAGCTATTTCATGGTACAGGGGTAATTATAGAATTGATATTTGTATTCAATATCAGTTAAGTCATGTCACACCTATGCTTTTCGTAACTGACTTTTGTAAAATTGCTATTAATTGAAGTTTAAAAAGAGGGTATTTTGTATAATCCATGGAGCTTACTTTTATTTAAAAAATAGATATAATTGGGGGGAAATGGGCATTTATTGAAACCTTAAAATCTGTACCCCCATAATATGCCGAAATAAAAAAATAGATATAATTAATTAATAAATAGTATTTTTAAACAGATGGAATAGGAATCAAATGCATAAAATTTATCATATCTCCTTGCCACACTTCAACTAGAACGATCAGAAAATGAACAGAGGCATAAACAAGCAAAAAGAAGGAGAGAGGTAATGTCAACTGAACCTTGAATATGTAACTGACAAACAGTAACTGATAAAGGAAAGTGAATAGACCTGAAACCTAGATTTGCAATGGGAAAAGCCAACACTAGGAAGTCTAATTCTTACTACAAATCAAGAAATGTTCAGGAGTTTTAGACTACTAGATAGTTCTTAAGGTGGGGCACAGAACAGAGAACAAGGCATGGGTTAGAAGTTTTTATAAACAGTTCTTAGGTCCCTAGATTACCTTCTCTAACGATTCACAACTAAAAAACATTCCTGCCAAACCATGAAAGAAGATAATAGATTTAATTTTATAAACGTTGAAAAGGGAATGAACTATGTTTTAGGTTGGATTAGAAGATACAGCTGAGGCCATATTGAAAATAGTGATTAAGTGAAACTTCACAATAAGCAGTGAGACTCACAGGCCCAGAGGTTTCCAGAATACTGAGAAATAGGCTCGTATCTATCTTACCCCCAGCCATGCAGCAATTAGAGGATTCTTCACAGAAAAAGTAAACAACCCAAAAAGGGTGAAGCCTATGGATACTGATAATTGGGATACCCTCAACAAAAATCCTGATCTCTATAAATCACCTTAGAGTGAAACCCACTGTTAAACAGGCTCAGTGACACAAAGTTTCCAATGAACTATTTAGTGTCTCACTCATGGATGAAGGGACAAGGTTCCATTGTGGTAATGGCAGTGTAGCTGGTATGACTAAACCTCTTGCACATAAAAATCATAATCTCTGGACTAAATATAAAAAGTTATTTAAATGTGAAGAATAACAACCCAAATCAGACAACTGGAAATGATGTAACTTGGAAGAAAGAGATTTCCTGAACGAGATGGTAATAGGTTTATTATGTTTTCAATCGAAAACTTTGTGGATAGCCCAGAACAGCTATAATTCAAGCAGAAACTTTAGTCTTATTAGGTTGAAGTGTCAGAAAACAGAATTGAGGGCTGGCACATAGGTTAGAAATTAAGAAGGAAATTCCAGAAAGAAGAAACAACAGTGGAGAACTCCAAAAATCTCTATGTAAACTGTGATCAAATATTAGGTCATTAAATATGAAATGTCTGACTTCAAATCCAAAGTTTAGTTTATTATATTTCAAACAAAGAGCAGTACAATTAATCAAAGTATGCACCTACACTATTGACACAGTTTTGCCATCTTAATAGTGGCTTGCTTATGCCAGCAGCTAAGAGGCTGGAGAGTGGCAATGAAATTTCAAAAGGTGTTTTCCACAGCTTGTTGAGAATTCAATATTTGTCCTTGCAAGAAGTGGTCCAAAGCCTGGAAGAAGTAGTAGTCAGTTGGTGCAAGGTCAGGCGAATACAGTGGATGACAGAGAGTTTCCAAGTCCAGCTGCTGTAGTTTGAGTAGCATTGTTTTTTGCAACATGTGGTTTTGAAAGAGGATTGGCCTGTCTCTATTGACCAATCTTGGCTGCTCACTTGCAAGCATCCTCATCATTTCATCCAGTTGGTTGCAGTAGACATCTGCTATAATTGATTGACCAGGTTTCATGAAGCTGTATTGGATAATACCAGCGCTGGACCACCAAACAGACACCATTAGCTTTTTTTGATGAATATTTGATTTTGGACTATATTTTGGCATTTCATATTTATCCAACCATTGTGCCAAACCCTTGAGATTGTCAAAAAGAATCCATTTCTCATCACACGTAGCAATGTGGTAAAGAAATGGCTCGTTTTATGTCGTAACAGCAAAGAAAGGCAAGTTTTGAGAAAATTTCCTTTTTTATGTTCATTTAATTCATGTAATACCCATCTATCCAGCTTCTTTACCTTGCCCATTTGTTTCAAATGGTCCAATGTTGTTCAAATAGTAGCGTCAAATCTAGCTGCTAATTCACATGTGGGTTGGCATGGGTTGGCTTCCACTACAGCTTTCAGCTCATCATTATCCCCTGTGGTCTCAGGTCACCCACATGGCTCATTTTCAAGACTAAAATCACCAGAATGGAACTTCTCAAACCATTGACTGCTGTGCATTCATTAGCCACAACCTTCCCAAGCACTTCATTGATATTTCAAGCTGTCTGCACTGCATTGGTTCCACAATTGAACTCATATTCAAAAATAACACAAATTTTTTACTTATCCATGGTTTCACAAAAATTGCTCTAAAAATATTTGAAAATAATCACAGAGCAAAATGTGCATTTTAAAGAATGAGGATGTACCTTCACAAAAAAAAAAAAGAACAAGAAGTGTCAAAGTGAAATGTCAGAGATATCAACTTCATACTTACCAAACTTACTACTTAAGGAAATTAAACATTCCATACTTAATAACCTAATACTAGACTAACCTCTGAACTATGTATTTATGGAGACTCTAAGGAACCTAACAGAAAGCAATAAGCAATAACTGGAGTGTTAAAAGAGCTAAGGAGAAAT